AGTTCGTCTTGGATCAGGGGAGAAGGTGGATTATATACTCCATCAGTTCCATGGTTGCAAGTTTTTATCTTGGTTGTTGATGCTTAAAATCTGGCTAATTGATATGATTATTACATGCTGTAGGTAGCACAAGGTGTGTTGCATTGGCCCGGAAATATGATATAATGTTAAGATGCCAGTCCTGACAGCAGTTGCTCAGATTCTACACAGTAAGCTAATCCCGAAGAAAGCTGTTCTTGAATTAAAAGAATAAGCTAAACCTTTCAGTTTTGTTATCAAACATTTATTTCTAACTGTTAGTAGTGCATCAATATGCTGGTATTTTTTGTTTACTTTGATCGAAACCCATACAAACAGTTAACTCATAAATAAATAAATTGCATTTCATACTTTTTCCGACAATCAAACAATTAGTCTCACCTATCATGCTATTATTGATCAATGTTGAGAAACTAAATCTTTAAATTGTCTATCTCACTGTTTTAGATATTACGTACAACTCATAGTGGAAGATAGTACAGCACAAATGGAGTTGGTGGTCTTCGGTGGACCAACTGAAAAATTAGTGGGAGTAATAATTACAAGACTTACAGCTTGATCAAACAAATAAAAATTTTTGACATCCGAGCATTTAATTCATTAATTAGTGTATTATCTCTATGCTCAAAAATAGTGAAAACAGAAATTGCCAATTACAAGATGTTCGTCTATGATAGAATAGGAGACCAATAGCTCTTCACTCCAACTCCAATGAGAATTGAACCACCAGGGCACCAACCTCTCCCATCACCAATTAGCAGCCAAGTGCCTAGAGAACTTTCCCACATTGCATACCTCAAAAATATGCCACCACTACCCAAGGAGAAAAATCCCCTACCAAAAAAATATAAAATTAACCAAGTATAAATTAATACTTTGTTCCATACTTAGTTCATCATTGTCATTGAAAAAAATCGACATATTGTTGCCACTATCACTTCAGTTAATAAAAGGATTTTGTGTTGACAGCTGCAACAACTTTAATTTTGCTTCTAATTTTTCCTGGAAAGATTTGCTTCATTCCCAGAAAATCTGGGCCAATAGGAAATTTGTACAATGAGTTACTTAATTCCCAACAAATTTGCATCTGTTCTATAAAAGAAAATTACAAAGTTATAAAACTTTAATTTTTTTTATCACTTCAGTTAAAAATTACACTTCAATACTAACTGATAAACAATGCAAAAATTAATTAATCTCTCAAATAATAAAAGAAGTAAGAGAATAGGATATTTTATTAATTATTTTAATTTTTATATATTTTTAATGATATGATAAATAATTGAGAATTAATAGGGATATGGAAGTGAGAAAAAATAAATATTTAGTAGGCATGTGAGAAGAGATAGACATTATATTAATTATTTTAATTATTATATTTTTTAATATAATTAATTATATTATTATTATAAAATTATAGAACTTATAAAAATTTGGAGCGGTTTGGTGGTTTTACCTTAAAGCCGGCCTTGTGCACGAACATTTTTCTAGTTATTCCTAATCGTAATCTAATTTCTTGAATTAATTAATGAAATTATTCTATCCTCGAAGATAATAAATTAAATTTTATTTAAATTACCCAATCTTTCAAATTAAAATTTAAGAATATATATAATTCCTCGTCAAACCCTTTTCCGTAAACTTGAATTATTATTTTTTTACCACCTTAATATATATATCATTTACATGTATCACTTTACATATTGAGAAACTTAATTCTTATCCATAGTTTAATTATATTTACTCTAAATGATACTTAATTCACATCTTAGATACTTACAAAATAAAGAGAAAAATAATATAATTTTTGTTGGATATAATAACAAGGTTTAAGACTTCCACATGGGAAAACTAAGATTGTCAACGAGTAAGGTACCCGATAGTTTTGAAGTACTTGAACCCAAACTCTATAAAAAATAAACTATACGAACCCTATTAACTACATGAATATTTTTTAAAATTACTACCCTAGCTTTAACCCTAATACATCTGCATTACCCTCTTATTACTCTAACCAGTTTAAAAACTCGATTATGTAAAAAACTTATTAAAATGCTATTCATGGGTACCCAATTACCCAACTCCGAATCCAAATCCGTACCCTGTATCCATATACAATAATATTTCTCTTGCATACTTCATATAATATACTAATAATTAAATTAATAAAAACAAACAAATAATAAAATTTAAATTTAAATAATCAAAAACAAATATCTCAAACTTATAATTTTTGTAATATTAACATAAAATCGAAAGTAAATATGTTTATGTTTAAAGTGTATATATACTAAATATATATATATATAATAGAAATTATATTTCTTATAAATGAACCCAATGTATGTAAAGTATATATATTAAAAGACTTAACAAGTCAATTAATAATTATAGTTTCATTAATTAATTTAATTAACTATATAGATTTATCTTTAATTACATGAAATTAAAAACAATAACCATGTTTCCAAACTATTCTAATCGTACAACTTTCCTTTAGGTTTATATGTTATAAGTTTATATAAACAAAGGTAAATATATTACAATTAATAATTTTATGAGTTTTAATTTTTGTAATATTAACATAAAATAGAAAGTAAATATGTTTATATTAAAAGTACTGTTATGAAAATATAACTTAAAAGAATAACTGAAGAGAGAGAAGAAAGAAAGTACTTAGAGGGAGAAAGAAAGGTTTTATTAAAGTATGTATTTACAAATAAAATGAGAGGCCTATTTATAGACAAATAACCCCTTATCTCAATAGAATTTATAAGATGAAGATAATGCTAAGAGATTAGATATATTAAATCCTAATGTTGATCCAATCTAATTTACATTCAAAACTAGATATAGATAACATAAATGGATATTCGCAAAAATATTCATAACACTCCTCCTTGAATATCCATTGTATTAAGAAAATGTCTCGTTAAGATCTTTCAAGAAAAAAAACCTGAGAAGGAAAAATCCAAGTAAAGAAAAAAAAGTACATAATTCTTTTCAAGAATACGATTTTGAAATATTATTTCATTAAAAACCTTATCAATAAAAACCTAGTAAGAAAAATTTGATGAAGGAAAAGAGTACAGTACGAATTTTACTCCCTCTAACGATTGTATTATAAATATCTTTAAAATGATGCATTCCAATATTTTATACCAACTTTTCATATGTTGTAGTAAGAAAAACTTCAGTAAATAAATCTATTAGATTGTCACTTGAACAAAGTTGGTGAATACTAATTTCACCATTTTTCAGAGAACATGAGTGAAGAAGA